GTATCTGTTTTCTTGTTGTTCGAATGAGTTACAGTCTGGTGTAAGCTGGCAGATGATGAAGTCTGAGTCTTTGTCTTTAGAGAAGGTACAGAGAGGCCAACAGCAGGTGAGCTGCTCTCCCAGACATATTTAGAACCATCCATTGAGAGACTACATCCTGTAGCAGGTGATAGTTTAGTCCAAGTAGATCAGACTGGGCACCTTTGCTTTTGTGGAAATTACAGGCCAATAGTTTCCCAGGTTTCCTGTGAATCTCATATCTGTCACTTGAGCAAAGATTGTGATGAGAAGCAAAATAATTCTTTGTTTTCCATCCAGTAATTTTTGGTTGCTGTTTACATAGTCTGGACTTGAACATAGATAGAAACAGAGAAGGAAAAGAAATTTAGATTCAGGTTTGGTTCCCCCTCCTCTGCTGCCAGGCAGTGATCCACCCCACTGCTAATAACGTTTGCTTCCTACCTTAAGCAAAGTCATTGCCTAATTTTTTTGAACATTTGAACTGTTCCTTTGGTCTTGGCAGAATAAGATACCATTTGGTATTTTCACTTACCTTTTCCAAAGGGGAGAGAAAGCACTGAGTAGTGTGAAAAGTTGGTTGAAAAGATCAGCATTATAAAACAAAAGCTGCTGAAATGTGAGAGTGATCTTTGGACTGTATATTGAAAATCAAAGATTTAAAAAGACTGTTTAAGTGAGAATTAATAGCCTGATTTTGTTGACAGTTGAAGTCTTCATCTGTTACCATGGCATGTTTTATTTCACTGTCTGCATTGGTATTTCCTTCTGAAGAAATACACAGGCTCATTGCTACTACCTCTGATATTAAAAGTTCCATTTGCTTCTCATGCTCCAGGTGATGATTTCTGTTTAAGTAAAATTATGGTACATTAAGGTAAGAGGAGGTTAACCTGATTGATAGTGTTACAGATGTTCCCCTTTCTCCATCACAAGACTGCTGTCTTCAACAGTAGTTTTATCCTGAGCCTGCACAGTTAATCCAAGTCTTCCATGGAGATAAATATGGGCAGATAGTATTTTTCAAAAAGAATTTAGAAGTGCAAGAGTATTTAAGTTTATTTATTATTTAAATTGGTTTCTAAAAGACTTTTTCAGGTATTAAGAATGGAACTGTAGCACTGTTTTTTCTTTAAATTTTTTCCATACATGTATGAAACTTTCTTTCCTGCAAAAATCCAGTTCATATCCAGTTCACTGTCTTATACTTGCAGACTAAGTCAGGGGTCTGCTTTGGGCAGTTGTCTTCAGAAGTTCTTCAGACTTTGTCTTTATCATGGAATTCAATACTAATTTAATCATAATCATTTGATTTATTCATTACTACAGTTGGTAATAATTGGTCTTTTGTTGTAAGTCCAGTGAAAGGTTGAACCAGCCACAAAACCTGACCACTCAACATGGTCCCTCAGTTCAAAGTGAGGGGTAGTGGTGAGCCTGTGTGAACCAGTCAGTTCTTCTGACAGAAATATTACCCTGAAAATGAAAGGATTTGAAGCTCTAAGCCTGCGAGATAAGACTTTTCCACGAGCATTAAATTCGCACACTAGTCTTTCAGTCCTTTTTTTTAGAGCATTGCTGTGATGCATTGTCCATTTCTGAAGGACATACTTTGCCCAAGCTTCATGCCAGGTTAACTGAATCTCAAAGCAAACCAAAAGATTTATGGGTAGTCTCACAGTGAACCATTGTCTGAAATCCTTTTGGCTCCTGTATTTGCAGCATTCATCAACAGTGATTCCTTTCATTCACTTGCTACCAGAGTTTAATTTGTATGTATGATGGCTATGTTTGGAAGGAATAGGACTGGAGTGATGCTAATGTAATTTATTTTACTCTTTGAATTTTGTTCTTAAATATAGAATCTTAAAAGAGTCTCACAGATACCATCCTACAGTATTTTCTCCCCTCACCATGAAAGCTCCATAGCCTTAAGGAAAAACATAAATAAAATCGATGTATTCTTTACATTTTCTTGAATGGAATGTATTTATCTCCGTTTCACTTAATCTGCCGATAAGCCACTGCATAGTGTTTTTTTCATTAGTAGCACATGTCAAAAGCCCATGCAGGGTGTAAGGCATCAATATAAGGAAATTAAGAAGTATGTATAGTTCTTGTTTGAGTTTGAACAGCACTACAGTGTGCTGTTTTTACTGTACAAACACCTGGCATAATGAAGAGGCATTTTTTATATAGGACTCTTTAAGTTAATAATTTTTGTAAATCTTAGTTCTGTGGTAGGATTAGATATTGAAAAAGAAGATTTAATAACTGTACCTCATTTACTTCACCCTTGAAAGCACATTTTTCTAGGAAATTACCATGACCTACCTCAAGCCTCTCTGAGGATTGAGATGTACTTATGATTTTGATGCCAGCAAGCCTACTGTGAGCCTACGCTGTAAAGCACATGAAGTTAACTTTCATGTAAAAATGAAAAAGCAAAAGTTGTTTCCTGAGTTTTGTGCATAGTTTTTCACTCTATTATGTCAGATTTTGAGGGTATTACTTGATTACATGGTATAATTTGAATGGCCAATAAGCTGTTGATCTAAACTAAACCATTAAATTTAAACATGGAGGTTGGAATTGAAAACAAAAGGAATGCCTGGAGGTAGCTGGTTTTGTCCAACAAATTACCATCTCAAGTATAAGACTTGATTAATTTAAATCATGTATAAAAATAGTTTTAAAAACTGTGGCAGAAATGTTGCCACTAATTAAACTCAGACATTCAAATGTTTAGAAATGATCAATTAATGATCGTGAAAATAAAGTAACCGTAACAGTTATACAGACGCCTGTACAGCACTTTCTGGCAAAAATCACAAGTGGTAAGAGGGTAGCTGGGTATATCATGACTACTTGTACAAAATTTCAAATGACAGTAGGCCTGAGAAGAGAAATTGAAACTTTTGACTTGGATTTAATCCTTTGCATAGCTTGAGGTGTCTAAACAGCAGTGGAGGTCTGACTGATCAGTGGGTCTTCAAACAGAAAATTTTCTCTTTCACCCGGTGATCAGATTTTCCCATGCTCTTTCCATGCTTTTCAGCTCTTCCAGGTTCACCAGAGCCACCCTTTCTTACTGGGCTCACTCAGCAGAGCCATGTAGTGTGCCAGCAAGTACAGAGTGGTTCATTTGTTAGATGAGGTGGACATTAAGTGAACAGTGCAGTTTCATACCTAACAGTATCACTTAAACCAAACATATCCTTGGGCAACACGTCTAGCAGCATTTAAAGGTCAAACTCCTATCCTCATTACTCCATATTTTAGGTCTTCTGTTTTGCTTTATTCATTGTCTGTGCAGAACTGACAGACTATTCCAGACCATCCTTGTGTAATGTTGGGAAGTGCTAACAGCTGCTGTCCAGTGTGTCTCTCTATTCAGGCAACTGCAGGCCTTACAAAAGCTGAAGTACATGTTACAGAGCCTTAGATCAAGCAAAATAAACCTTCTTCCCTGAAAACAACAGGGAACAGCTACCGAACAGACTATGCTGAGTATGCTCAGAACCAACACACATAGCCTGGGAGATTGCCACAGGGAAATTTTCGTGAATGCTGAAGCTGAGGCATTGTTTGATTGTAATCATCAGAGGTGGAAGGCACCTGGAAAACAAGAGGAAAAGGAAAAGACCTGAAAAGAAATTGTGAGCATGTCTCAGAGAAAGAAACAGAAGCAGCCCTGTCATAGCCAGGAACAGTAGGAAGTCAGGCTTGGAAGCGCCAAGCCTGAAAGCCTACTGAGGTTACATTTTTTTTATTTGAGATCTTTCTAAATAAGTAAGGGTGCTCTGAAGCTTAGCTCATTTCTGATTAAGTTATATATTCTTAACAGTAATCCCAGTAGTTAAAATGTCTTTGGGGCTAGGTATGTAAACCCCCCACTAGCAAAATACAGAAATTAATTTTACAATATAAAAATAATTTTTAATTTAAAAATTATTTTAATAATTTATCTAAAATATTGGTTTAGAGAAAAAAAATTAATATATATTATTAAAGAATACCAGTAGTCTTAGTTAGTCCTGCCGTACTCAAGCTGGCATTACCTTTGAACACAGGCTCTTAGATGGAAAGTCAGCACTTGAGGGCAACAAAGGGATCTCACTGCTTCTGCAAGGAAGCAAGAAGCCTGGCTGGAATGGATTTGAGCACTGTAATCTAAGTGAACCTCTTATAACAGGAATTGGAAACTACACCAATCAGGTTCCTAAACCTGTATTGGTGAAGGAGAGTGCCCAAGTCTTACTTTCAGTCTTCAGAATGCTTACTCTTTCCTCAGTTGTGTGCCATCCACTTCTGAACATTTTGGTAATTAATAGTATTTGGCACTAAGTGTGCTTTTAGTTCTTTTTTTTTTTCAGTGGAGCCTATGGAGAGGTTTTCTGAACATTTTACTTATTAAAGCCATTTATAGTTGAAAGATATGAAGACTTTATACACATTTTTTAATTTAAAAAAATTAAAACAAAACAAAAAAACTCTTCAGACTCTTGACTTGTTAGAGTACTTACCTGTAACTTTTTCCAAAGTGCATTTGAAGGACAAACATAAGTGGCAAAACTTTGGTTGTGGCACTCATGCCTAAGAGGAATGAAACTGCACTTAATGGAAAAACTGAGGGTTAGTTGTTGTGGGTTTGTTTTGTTTTTTTTTTTTTTTTTTAAGAATGAAGTGTTAGAAATCTCTCCCTATTAATTTGGTGTCCAGCTGTATAACTGTTCTCTCTGAAACATGTGTATAAATGACATTTGAAATACTGGTGCATTTTATTTGTTTGTCACCTGTGTACTACATGTGAATGTGTAGGACTTTGTTTTGTCTTCCCTCAGATAGCTGTATGTTTATATATATATATATACAGCATTCCACCCACTTTCCCCACTGAACAACGAGCTATTTGACTGTTATGGAAACTCAAGGTTTTTCGTGTGCAAATCCCTAAACATAAGCATTTCTTTTCTTTACAGCAGCACAAGAGAGAAGTGTTGAGAGCTGCACTTAACCCTTTTGGAGTCCGAAGTCAAAAGGTAAAACCAAATGCTAATTTTTGCGTTTCTGAAGGTGTTGATATCGTAATTGTTTGGAAATGCTGTTTCCTTATCACATTTGAATGGAGATTTCCCACAGGAGAAAAGCAGGGATAAGGTAAGAAGAATCAAAACATTATTAGACCTCTTTAAGAGCCACCGGCATATTTGGGCATAAAATATACAGGTAAGTTACAACTGGTAAACTGCAATTATCTATTTTACTTAATATGAAAACATTGGCATTAAGAGTCAGTGGGACTTTCAGTAGGATTTAATGTTGCTAAGGATTTAATGATTTTTGTCTCAGTATAACTTGATAGTTTTTATGATATATAAAGTTTTTTTCAAATTACAGTAAAACAAATCCTGTAGCTCTTTTCTCAGGCAAGAGTCCCTCAATGGGAGTTTTGCCTGAGTGAGAACTGAATGAGGTCTAAATAATTAGCAATTAAAATATTCAGTTATTGTGCTACTGTATATAACAAAGCACTGGAGGTATTAAAAATTGCTAATCTCCTCCTTATTAAAATGTTAACTGCTAAACATAATACAGTTCTGCATTTTCTATCATTCGTTTTTGCAGTTCATTAGTAGAGGTGAAATGTTTGTGACAAATAGTCATTTGAACTTTTAGAGGAATTGACTTTGTTTTCCTGGCATTTTAGTAATATTTCTGACTGAGTTAATTTACAAGGAAAAGTGTTTGTGGAAGCCATGGATTTTTGTCAAAAACTTGATCATGTACAGAGAGTAACTTCTAATATACCATTCATGTGTATTTGCAGAAGAGAGCAGTTGGTAAAGCCACTCATCAGGACACAGGGCTAGGCAGTTTAGGTATCCAATTTGTATACATTTTGATCAGCAGCTTCTTGTAATGAACTCCAATAATAGGTTAAGGGTTTTCATAGTGTTTACTGGTCAATTTTAAGTGAGACACTGGCTTGTGAATAGCACAGCAATGGGCCAAGGAGCAAAGTTGTGCACCCAGGTCTGTTATTTAGCACATAACTCTTTATTACTACGCTAGCTAATGTGGCAGACTATGCTCTCATCCTGCTTTACTGGGCAAAAGAATGGCTAATGCATCTCCTGTCCCCTTCCTCACACAGCAGCAGAGGAAAGATGGCAAGGGACAATGGTATTGAATGGGTGAGATACGAGTGGTAAGTTAAGGTGGTAACTGGTAGAGGAAGAAGGTGATTTAATGAAAGGATTTGGTGGCAGGTGAATTTCCCAAGGGAGGGCAACACCCTTAATGCTGTTTTCCCCATAGTCACTCCCTGGGGTAGATTTTGTTACTTATTATGCCTAAAGGGTTTTTTTTCTGACCTTCTGTAGAGCCATTTTAAACCTAGGCATTTAATTGTGCAATATAACTTTGTTGGCAATTCAGGCCATGATTCTGCAAGGATTTACACATGTATTTCACTTACAGCATTATGAGTAATCCTGTTGAAGTACATGAGATTAATTGCCGAACATAAAGTTAAGCATGTATATTTGTCTTTGTTGTAAAAGAAGTGTAGTTGCATTTATTTATTTACTTTCAGGGTGGGAAATTATTTTTAAAAATACATAATTACATGGAATTTTCCACTAAATCTGTGGCAATTAAAGAGTAGGTGTATTGTAACAAAATAAGCTTTCTGCTTGTTTCCCAAATTCTCATTTTTGTCAGGTTCTCAGCTGTAAAACGTGGAAAAGAATAAGCTGCTATCATTTTCCTTTTTACGTTCACAGTTAAACATCTAGCTAGGATGAGATGATCATATAATTTATTATAGAGGAGTGAACAGGACAGAAATCAAACAGGAAGGCAAGTGTACTTTTGTGGACTCTTGTTTATAATTTCATCAGATTGGTGCACACCTCAGACATTTTATTTGATGATAAGATATGCAAATTATTCTGGAGCCACCAGCAATACCTTCACCTGAATGTCAAAACTGACAGAGATTTTTAAATCAAACCTCAACAACAACTTGTATTTTAAAGCAACTATTCCTAGGATATAGCTACCAACTACAGACGAGTAAGTGCAGAATTGTTTCCTACTTTCCTTCATGCTGTTTTCCTTCCTCTCTTGTTTTACCTCCATGGAGGAACAGGTTGCAGGCTTACCTGTAAATACTGGGTGTAACTATGGGCAACAGTGCAGAGGAGCTATAAATGTATATGGAAGTATGTGCAAAGCACAGGAATGCAGTTTTGAAGTGGGGAGACTTGTGAAATGAAGTGTATCAGAGAAGATATCCTCTGTTTTTCCAGATGCCTACATCACATCTTTCGTATCTGCGAAGGAATGGGTAGCACAAACTCTTCATTTCAGTTGCTTTCTCTATCTTTGGCTTTAGTTTTATTGCATTTGTGTCCTTAAATCAGAATGTGGTAGTACTAGCCCATGAGTACAGTGGAACATTTAGATGATAGCTTTTCCATGAGACTGAAATTTCTCAAAGCTGTGGATGTTTAGCTGCTGGGGTTTTGGTTTTGAATGTACATATAGTCATGACAGAAAGGGTGTCACTGAAAATGCAGCTTGAGATTTAAATGTTAGATGTGTTTATTTTTGGAATCCTTGTTCCACTCAGTGCCCACTGCCTATAAAGTGATAATCTTGTGTATTTTCCCCAGATTCAGTTCCTCCTCTTCTTTCTGTGGATGTGTGCTCATAACTATGTCCAAACGCTTCTATCTTAAGTTTTCCTAGGGCTTTTTTTGGCTTGTTTTCTTCTCGTTGTTGTTTTTAGTGTGTGTACCTAATTAACCAGAAAGCTATCTGGACTGGAAACATTCAACAAAGGGTAACAACTTAAGTACTCCTGTATCTGTGCAGTGTATGTGTGTGTGAGAGAGAGCACTGTGATTAGAGAGGTTACGAAAGATCCTTTTTTGTTTTTGATTACATGCCTGGTTGTGTATGTTGTTCTGTCTCTCTGCCTTCTCTTATTTTGCTTGGCCACTGTGTCCTAACAAATCCTCCTCTATGACAGATTAAAAGTTCTGGTCAGATGCTTTAGTTATTTACAGCCTCTTCCAGGTGGGATTTTGTTATCCACAGTTAAATAAGAGTAACATTTTTTTTTCCTGCAAAACGAGGAAAAGAATTTCTGTGTGTTCCTGATTGGAAAGATACAATGTAAGTCCCATAATACATTATCAGGGACCTGGGTCCTATAGCTTTCAGGGTCCCCCAAAGTACTCTTTGTGGAAAAAGACTTCTAAAACACTCAGGGCTTACTGCTTGTGCAGATTTAGGCCACTGCAGAACATTTTGTTTACAGCAACTAATTCTAGGACCTACTTTGGTGTTGTGGATACTTAACTCCTACCCACTCAAACCGAGGCACTTCAAAAATAATTAAAGTAAATGAATAATCCACACACAGAGCAAACCTTTTCAGAGGGAAAGTGGGTTTATTGAAAGAAAAAAATTTGCTTTTTGGGTTGTTTTTTGGTTTTTTTTGGTTTTTTTTTTTTTGTTTTTTTGGTTTTTTTTTTTTTTTTGCTAAATAGTTTATTTCAAGGTCTTCTTAAATAAGAAGCAAATGCTTTTGTTGGAAAATAAAAAATAAAATTGAACTTTTGCTTGTCATTTCTGTAATGGCTGATGAAGTTAAATCATTGAAAGCTAGCAAAAAAAAAAAAAAAAAAAACAACCAGATGGAATTTGTCTTTTCAAGCTGAAGTCCAGGTAGCAGTGTGTTGCCCCTATGCAAAATGCTGACTGAGGTAGCGCTGAAAAAAATATAGTGGGTGTTGTGTTATGTTCCTTTTAATGCTCTACTATAAAGGAATTTGAAAGATTTTAAAGTGTTTTGAAAGAGTTTCTGGACCTTGTGGGAGACTGCAGGGTAAAAGCATTGAAGGAGGCGGATCAGCCATGATGACTTGGGATTTTCCCTGATTGGCTATAGGTAAAAGACTCATGGTTTGGTCTGTCACCTAAATGGATGCTCTTTAACCATCTGTTGCAGTCCTCATGCCATGGTTGCAGTTATCAACATGGATACTTCCCAGTTGCCGTAGGAGTTAATTGCTTCTGCTTTATAGGGAATAATTGCCTTGATGTAATACCGATAACCTTATTAATCTTTCCAAACCCTATGCATTCATATTTGATAAATGGGAATCTGTCATTCTTTCAACATCAAGCTTCATAGGAAATCTCTGCACTTGCAGAAGTCTTCCTTATATGCAAACTCCAAGAGAAAAAATTCAGCTTCTTTCTTATGTTGACACCACATTTGCTGGTTTTTTCAGTGCTGAATTTGATTCCAGGCATCCACCAGTATTCTGGAGGGAAAGGTGACCAGCACTGCAGCCTGCACTATTGCTTCTCTACTTGTCATGAATAATATCCCACCGGGCTAGTTAACTATTACACTGACTCTTTCCTGTTCCTTCATGGGTGATTTCTGCCCAGGGGACATGGGTTACTGCAGTCGGGCTGCCAACACAAAGTTGAGCGTTGTGCATGTGTATTAATGTTTATCTTCATGCATATGTGTTAAGTTGTTCAGCACATACTCCAGTAAAGCTAACAATGCAAGACCAGCATGCATGTTTTTTCTATTTAAAAAGCAAAAGTCAGAGGGGTAATGATTTACTCTCCCTCCTTTACCATTTTTGAAAATGAACGTGAAAGGATTTGCCTCTAACCAACACACTGGCACAACAGGTTTCTGTGGTCAGCACTTGAAGAGTGGAGTTTCAGGATGCTAAAATTCGGTTTCTGTGAGCACACGTTTGAATCACGTGGTCAGTGATTCACGTGGTCAGTGATTCACGTTGATTTGTCATGGGCCATGACCTGATACTTCCCCTATGAAAAAGACAATGTCCCTGTTCACTGGGAGGGAAAAAGTATGGGTGAAGAGTACATGTCAGGGAAGTCTTTTGAGATTCAAAAGAAGGTATGAAACCACAATGGTTTTTCTTAAATGTATGCCAGGGTTGATTCCTTTCAGTCATTCTCATTTTCTTCTTCATCT